TTTTTGTAACTATTAATTTGTTTACATTAGTTAGGTGGCATCGATTCTTATAGAAATGAAGAGCAAAGTGACTGGACTGCCCTGAATCATAGTCATAGAGACGTCCTAGTAACTTCTCATCATCTTCTATTTGATAGATATGAAAGTAGATTCTTTGTTAAGGTCTACTGATTTTAGAAGAAGATTTCTTTCTTAACAAGAATTCTATTTAATTAAAAATACTTTATCCTAGCACACTCACCAGATTCGACGAATTTTTTTAGTAGTTATTGACCGAAGAGTAAGAGTAGACCCTGAAGTTAATAAACAAACAAATTAGTAGTTCAGGGGAATTGAAAGCTCTTCATGCCCACAATTGCGATAGTTACTAGTTGGGTATCTAGACCTAATATATAGTAAATAGCTTTTGTAAACATTCTTCTCCTTTACCTAACCATTGGATATGCCTCTATGTAGCGGTTAGGACTAGTAGACAATAATTAATTTGTTGAAGCCAAATATCCAAAAATTAAAGCTATTTTTGTATAATGATAATTTTACAATCGTTATAACAATAATGTTAACTTTTTTTAATTTTTGTTCAAATGCTTGTCTAACGAAAATTTATAGAAAAGACTTCTGTTAACCAATAACCTTAATAAGAAACGTAAAAAAGGATCTAAATATAAATTAGACTTTTATAACAAATATATTATATAAACAAAATGCAGTTATTAAAGTTAAATAAGAATATGAATTTGTCGACTAGTTTATTGCTATTTTTATAATTCCTGGAGCACTTGATAAAAATTTAGCCGGATGATTTTTCAGCCAATTCGATTAAGCTTGTTGGTTATATAATAAAAACTATTTTGTATTATGACTTTATTTACAGATCGTTGTAACAATGTCAACATTATAAAAATTTTGTTTGAATGCTTATCCGACATTTAGTGTGTAATAAGCTTTAACAAGAAATTTTAAAAAAGTCACTATCTAATAATTAGACTTCTATAATAAATATATTGTACTAACTGGTGTATATGTTAAATAAAAATCCTGTATATATAAATAAAATATTACTTTGCATTATTTGTATATACAAGTTGATTCGTAGCTCTTCAAATTGTTATAAGATAATTTTATGTTTAACTAAAGTTTCATCTCGGATTGTAATTCATACAAATGCCAATTAGGTTTTTTTGATTATATTTCATGTTCAGTGAACGTGGTTATTCTTAAAGTGACAAAAGCTTTTTCGATACATCCATATCTTTGAAAGTATTTGAGAGCCCGACTTATAAAAGATATAAAACCTTGCAATTTTCAAAATGATGGGAATTTCTTACCTGGATTATGTGTTCTATCAGCATTCCCATCTGTGGATTTTTGAAAATGAATGGAAGTCTTTTGTACATCCTTTTCAACTCTTCAATTCCTTCGTCATATATATTAATACCTAGCATTAAAAGTTCAACTAGTCACCTGTCTCTGCTGATTTTAATAATAAACAAATGCTTTATGTTCATCATGTTCATCCTTTTCAACTTCTATCCGATTATGTGTTCTACTGTATTAACATTCTCTATCACTGTATATCTTGAAAATGAATAAAGCTTATTTACAATTATATATGTTCCATTAGCATCACCCATCTCTGCTAATTTTTGGCAACATATAGATAAATGTGTCATGTTCATACTTTTCAAATTCCATTAAAACAAATCAATTTCTTACCTGGATTATGTGCTCTATCAGCGTTTCCACCAGCAGATTTTTGAAGATGAATGGAAATCTTTTGTATATCTTTTTCAACACCATTTCCTTCGTTATACCATTATCTAACATTTGATGCTCTGCTAGTGTCACCCATTTCTGTTGATTTGTAATAATATATGAAAGCTTTATGTTCATCCCTTTTAACTCCAATCTATTATATTATACCCTTAAGTCACTTCATTTATATTAATAATTTCATTTAGCTAGCATGAGTAAAGGTTATTTAATAATCATTGAAATTAAAATGGTAAGACAAGTTCACAAAAACATAAATACTTACAAATCATTTTGTTCGCATTAATTATACTGGTAAAGAATAAAAAATTCGATGTGTTGGATAGCACTATTCAAATGCCATTTAATATACCATTCAACTTATCATATGACTTCACGGACATGAATGTCCGTGAAGTCGTGCGATAAATTGAATGGCACATGTCGAATGGCATTTGAATAGTCACACCGAATTTTTTATTTTTTACCAGTGTTATTATACCAGTATATATAATAAATGCCTATACAGTATACCAATACGTAATATTCTCCAAATTATTTTGTGCATAAAAATCATTAAATCAAAAATAGCAAAACAAGTTCACAGATATAGAACATAAATGTTTATTTACCATTATCTAATAACTTTCAAATCTTTCATTTGTATAATCATTTGTGAACATAAAAATCATTAAATCAAAATAGCAAAACAAGTTCACAGATATAGAACATAAATGTTTATTTACTATTATCCAATAACTTTCAAATCTTTCGTTTGTATAATCATTTGTGAATATAAAAATCATATATTAATTATTGTAATTTAAACAGCAAACCAAGTTCACAAATCGAGAACATAAACACCTACTGTATTTACAAGCATATAACATCTTCAAATCATTTTGTTCGTATTAACATCTCATTCAACTTGTAAGTATAAAAGTCATTTATTAATTATTGGAATCAAAAATGAGTTTACAAATAAAGAACATAAATACTAACTAATATATAATATCCTTCAAATCATTTCATTTACATTAATCATTTTACTCAGCTTGTACCAGGTATGTGTAGTGATGTGAACAGCTAAGGGTCTACTAATAAAATATTGACTCCCGGCTAAAGATCTTGAAGCCAAGACCATTAACCAATAGTAGATCATATAGTTTTATGACTTAAATTATGCAATTGCTGAATTGCATTTTAATTCAGTAAATCCTCAAAGCTATTTCATGCTTTATAGCTTTTTAACCCAATCGCTTACATATATTTCAAAAAAATTTTTGCATAAAAAAACAGAAGTATATTAAGATTTTTGTAAAATAATATTACTATTAGCAGCTTGGCTTATAAACGGCTTGGCTCTGGTTGCAGAGCCGAAGGATCGGCTCAGCTTAGTAAATGCTAGCCGTGAGCCAAGCACTAGGTATGTGTAAAATTGTTTATTAATCATTGGAAGTAAAAAAGCAAGTTTATAAATCAAAGAATATAGATACTTTTACCAGTACGTAATATCCTTCAAATCATTTTCATCTGTAAATATAAAAAATA